CACATCACTTCTAAGGATGATCTCCTTTGCATTAGATCCCCCTGTCTTTCACTCATCGATTTTTTTTTTTTTTTTTTTTTTTGGCGTAGAATTTCAAGTTTTTGAATTCATTTAGCCTTATCTTTCACATCTCTCTTGTGATGGGTTCCAAGGTCTTTCTCACCTTTACTTATGGTCTTGATTCCATTTGTGTCCATTTCTACCCTCTAAAGAGGTCCCTGGGACTCAATCAGTACTTCAAGACTAGTCTGATTAATACATCATAGATAGGGCTAATAATACCTTCCTTATTGGAGTCACTTGTAGTGATGAAGACTGAATTGCACTCACTTGTTTGATTGATCTACTCACTCAGTTGAATTACATTTTTTTCCGTAGGTAAAGTGAGGTTGCTGATAGTACCTTGGACATATTACTTAGTCTACTTTTAACACTTTGCAAAGGACCTGGCACATAGCAAACATTTAGTAAAGTACACTGCACAGACTACCAATCCTGGTTGCATCTCCTTTGTCTGAAATGATATGGACCAGAAATGTGTCAGATTCCAGAGTTTTTTAGATTTTTGGAATATATGCATGGACTTTACTAGTTGAACATCTGTTAACATGAAAGTCTGAAATCTGAAAAGTTCAGAAATCTTTTTCCTTTTTTTTTTCTTCAGTACTACAGTTTAAGCTCTGCCCTTTACATAGCAAGCAGTCTACCACTTGAGACATGTCTCCAACCCTTTTTGCTTTAGTTGTATTTCAGATAGAGCCTTTTGCTTTTGTCCCTGAACACACACCCATGTAGTAGTTGGGATTACAAGTGTTTTTGAGATAATAGCTCAATAACTTTTTATTTGCCCAGGCTGACTTTTGAACCACATTTCTCCCATCTCCACCTCCCAGGATTGCAGGTATGAGATACCACACACTGTCCTGAAATCTTAAATTTTCTGAGTGTTCTATTCCTTACTCAAAAAGCTTCAGATTTTCAGGTGCTAGCAGGGTAGCTAGCAAATACCAAGCCTTGGGTGCAAATCATAGTATTATACACACACACACACACACACACACACACACACACACACACACACACACACACACAAGTTCAGATTTTCAGACAGTTCAGATTTTCAGCCATCATTGCCATCATCATCATCATCATTATTATTATCAATAGTAGTTCACACAGGGAAATAAAAACTGTTATTTGAATATGTTCTCTTGTTTGTTGATTAAAGGAACATTTAGCTCCTGTTTCATGATCCTTAATAAATGCTCAGATAAGTACTGGACTGCCCCTGTGGCTCTGTTCAGTGGTTTATGTGATATGGTGACGGCTTACTCTATGCCTATACTTAAAAGCATTCTTCTTCTTTTTTTGTTGTTGGTGGTGGTGGTAGTGGGCTTGAACTCAGGACCTGAATGCTGTCCCTGAGCATTTTCACTCAAGGCTAGTGCCCTGCTCAGATAAGTACTGGACTGCCCCTGTGGCTCTGTTCAGTGGTTTATGTGATATGGTGACGGCTTACTCTATGCCTATACTTAAAAGCATTCTTCTTCTTTTTTTGTTGTTGTTGGTGGTGGTAGTGGGCTTGAACTCAGGACCTGAATGCTGTCCCTGAGCATTTTCACTCAAGGCTAGTGCCCTGCCACTTTAAGGCACAGCACTACTTACAGTTTTCTGGTGGCTATTTGGAGATAGGAGTTTCACAGACTTTCCTGCCAAGACTGACTTTGAATCATGATCCTCAGATCTCAGCCTCCTGAGTAGCTAGTCTTACAGGCGTGAGCCACCGGCACTCAGCTAAAGCACTCTTAAGACAATGTCAAGGATGGACTTTTTTTGTCTCTTGATGGAAACCTCTTACCCATTTCAGTCAAGCCATTAATTGACCCTTTTGACTGTAGTCACTGAACTGCTTTGACTTTTTTGCACTGCTCTGGCTTTTGCTACAGTTCTTAGAGAAGCCTGCGTACATGTACAGGCTTCTCAGTGAGCAAGACTGCTAATGAGAGGAGAGGGTTGCGCACCACAAATTTCCAGAGTCATGAATTTGAGAGGTATGAGGTGTTAATAAACATTGTCAGGAAAAAAAAGAGCTTCTTCACATTGGTGCTGTGACTCCATTTCATACTCATTTTATGGTTTTTCCCTTAATTACCCGTGATGCTTTCCTAACACCATTTGGGCTTATTAGTTTTCTCCAGAGCTCCTCAAGTGCATTGATTTTAATTAGCACTTGTGTCAACTTTATCCTTCTGCATATTTTGGCAAAAAAGTGGCACGTTGTAGTACTGGAACATAGCAAGCTGCAAAGTTCCTGGGGAGAAGCATATGCAGAGTGTCGCCCAGGAGAAATGTTCTTTTCATCGTGAGTTCTCTGTTCAAAGCAATTGTGTTTTACTCTAACAAAAACTTGCAAAAGTTAAAGGGGCTCACAGGAATTTTGAGTTAAGAAGTAGAAGATTAATCTATATTCAATATCATCTGTATACGATAGTCTAATGTATCAATCGATTTCCAGGTTCTTTTGTAAGTCATAGAACCAATGTAATCTAACTCACAGTCACCTTGTCCTCCTATCACCTCTTCTTTCCCCTTCTCTGTCTTTATTCAACTTCCCTCCACATCTCCCCACCTTACCCCCGGACTGGGATTTAAACTCAGCAAGCCCCTGTCATAGCTTGACCACAGGCATGCCACATCACACCCACTTAGGGTCATACTAGCATCTTGGCCTGGGATAACCGCAACCCACATGCCTCCCACATGTGTGTTCTGCATAGCTAGGATTACAGGCATGTACCGCCATGTCCAACCTCAGCTCCCGTGACAGTAACACAGAAACCCAGAGCTCCCTGTTGTCCTGTCTAGACTCCCATCACAGAGTAACAGTAGCAGAGATAACTACAGCCTAGAGCTCCTTATTCTGGCTGACCTATGATGAGATAGCCTTTGGGGATAGCTTTACCAAGTTGGTTTTTATGAATTATAAAAGAATAGTGAAACTCATAGGTCAGAGGTCTCTGTATCAGTTATTCCCACTGTTTGTTTTAAAGGGTTAAGATTTAATATTAGCAGGAAATTTTAATTCTTTTTAGAACTTACTCAATTTGTCCGTTTTATTTGACCATCTGTTTCATAGCTAGCACTGCTCATCTGGGAACAGTAGCATCTTTGTAGAGGAAAAAGAAGATTAAGTATACTGGAGAGCCCTATGATCTGCTGCTGCTGCTGCTGCTGCTTCTTCTTCTTCTTCTTCTTCTTCTTCTTCGTCTTCTTCTTCGTCTTCTTCTTCTTCTTCTTCTTCTTCTTCTTCTTCTTCTTCTTCTTCTTCTTCTTCTCCTCCTCCTCCTCCTCCTCCTCCTCCTCCTCCTCCTCCTCCTCCTCCTCCTCCTCCTCCTCCTCCTCCTCCTCCTCCTCCTCCTCCTCCTCCTCCTCCTCCTCCTCCTCCTCCTCCTCCTCCTCCTCCTCCTCCTCCTCCTCCTCCTCCTCCTCCTCCACCACCACCTCCTTCTCCTTCCTTCTCCTTCCTTCTCCTTCCTTCTCCTTCTCCTTCTCCTCCTTCCTGTTTTTCCTCTTCCTCCTCTTCTTCTTCCTCCTCTTCCTCCTCTTCCTCTTCCTCTTTCTTCTGGTTCTTTTGTTCTTTCATTATAAAACAAAGAAAGTAGGGCACAGTGGTTCATACCACTGTCATCCCAGCACTGGAGTAGCTTAAGCAGGAGGAGGCCAGTTAATTTGAGCTAAATGGTAAAAATGTGTCTCCGAAAAATAATACTAAGTCGGGCACCTGTAACTCACACCTTAACCCTAACTACTAGGGAGTCTGAGATCTGAGGATCACAATTGAAAGACAGCCAAGCCAGGAGAGTCCATGAGACTCTTACCTACAGTTAACCACACACACACACAAAGCCAGAAGTAGAGCTGTGGTTCAAGTGGTAAAGTGTTAGCCTTGCAAATAAGCTCAGAGACAGCACCCAAGTTCTTAGTTCAGGTAGCAGTGCGTGCACATGTGCGCACTGAACACACACACACACACACATACACACACATTAACTTTTTTTACTTCAAATGTGTGAAAACTGTATTAAATAAAAATAAATTCAACTGTGCCATTTCACCAAAACTTGCCTTCAGAAACCTCCTAGGAGCATCACACCCCTTAATTATTTACCTCTTTTCTCCCTTTGCTATTTAGTTCTTACAGCAGAAGCAAGAGAGTGCTCTCAACCCATTTCCCTAAGTGTTTTAGTTGCTATCCAATTTTCCTTTTCTCTTTTAACTTTCTTGCAGTACCAAGAAAGGCATAAGATTAAAAGGCTTTCAGTTCATATAAATCACCAACAGTGAAAGTGTAGATGGTTTATGTGCCTAGAAAATGTCAGTTTGAATCTAGGGCCCTTCTTAATTGTTCTACAGTTTGATGGTATAAAATACAAAGTTGAGTTTGTCTGTGTGGCTGACTTATTCTACATCTGTGTTCATAAAGCAGTAATCTGGATCTTTCCGGCAGTGAGATCATTTTGTTCATGAGTTTGGGGAAAGATTTAAATTGTAATTGTACTCTATGCAGTCTTGTCATTTTATTCCATTTAGGAATTTCTTCTCCTGTGAAGTGCTCTGACCATGCAGTCATAATACTGGTTTGTGTGAGCCACCTCTGCTAGGCTGTCATTTTGTAATCACACCTCATAAATGAAAGGAGGGAAATACTGAAAAACCACGAAACTTAACAACACCATCCTACTCAGTCTCCATGTTCTCCTCCTAAATGCACATTTCAGTACTGAAGTGGATGAAAAGTACTGAAAGGCCTGGCTGCCTTTTATTCTTCTTGGCTATTGGCAGTGAGGGTGATTACCCTTTTATAAAAGTATAAATATACTTGTACTTTTATAAAGTAGCAGCATATTTTGTAAACTAATGCTTCTCTATAGAGTACTTTTTTACATTTCCTATATACATCATCCAAATATAGCATGGTTTTACTTTTTCTTTCCTAACAGGTGAAATGAGGAATGATTTATATATTACCATAGAAAGGGGAGAATTTGAGAAAGGTGGGAAGAGTGTGGCCAGAAATGTGGAGGTGACCATGTTCATCGTAGATAGTGGTGGCCAGACCTTAAAGGTACGTTACACTGGTCATTCAAAAATAAAATAAATCAGTACTACATCACTGCCTTCACTTCTTTTTCAATATATTCTATTAATTTCATCTGTATCATATTTCCTTCCTTACCTCTGTGTGGTATTTCTTCTAAGTTCAAGTGTTTCATGGAAAAGAAATTAGAAAATGAAAAGGTGTTTACATCTTCATTTCCTCTTAGTGGTTATCTCTGAAATGCAATGTTTTATGCCATTTGATTCTTTTATCTACCATTCTTTGATAGAGAATACTTTTTATCTAGCAGTTAAGTGAAAAACTGTTATATTTAATCCTCTGCACTATTTTTGCAAAAACAAAGTGTAGTATTACTTCCCTGACTGGGACAACAGCAGCACTGTTCTTTATGGAAGAAGTAATTATCTGTAAGTCCCTTTCGGTTGAGAAGTGGTGGGGGTGGGGAGGCTAGCTCCTGTGAGAGGACTGAGTCTGTGGCCTCATGCCTCACCCACTGAGTCATACAATAGGCTTTTGACTCCAACAGGTTGGGAATTTGCTGCAGAGTTGAACTCCCAATGTGATGTCCATCGCCATGTGTCACTAGAGCTCTCGTTTAGCACAGCCTTCTCTTAGAGACCAACAGCCTAATCAAACAGATATAGCCCCACTAGTCAGGAACAAATATAAAGAAGGGGAGGTATTTCCACAAGGTGCTAGCTGTAAAACTGGCAGATAAGTGCAGTGATTGCTCTGTAGCTTTTGAAAGAATCTTCCAATGAAGCTGTTTCTAACCTGCCTGTTTGCTTTATTAGGATTTTATCTCCTTTGGCTCTGGAGAGCCACCAGCTAGTGAGTACCACTCCTTTGTGCTTTACCACAACAACAGTCCCAGGTGGTCTGAACTACTGAAACTTCCTATTCCTGTGGATAAATTCAGGGGCGCACATATCCGCTTTGAGTTCCGGCATTGTTCCAGTAAGTATGTGGTAATTTGATTCTGTGACTGTTGTGTTGGGGCACTGTATTATACTGAGCTGGACTACCCATATGAGCTGCTATAAAGAGGAATAAATGAGAGACCTCTGGAAGGAAGAATGCAGGCAAAAAGGAATCCTGGGAGGGATGAGCTCATTCCTAGAAGAGCTAGCAACCAACATAGAAACTGAGGAAGGAGAAAGGAGGAGGAAAAACCTATAGGAAGCCTATGTGTTCTGCCTATATGTTCTCCAAAGATTGATTGATTTTACAAAGATACTCAGCTCTGTCACTTAGAGTCTAAACAGATTAGACAGAAAGAGAAGATACAGAATTAAGAACTGCATTGTTTCTGGTGGTTTGGGACAACCCTGACCAGTCTGGAATTTTATGGACATGAGAATCTACTAGGAAAGCCTTTATCAAGCTTAGATACATCTGCTTTTCCTGAATCCATAATATTGAGTTGATATTAAAATGAGAATCAAATGATGTCACCTGTAAAAGGTCTTGGATATAAAATGAAGTAATTGCCTCATGTTATAGAATTAATCAACTCAAGACATGAAAATGTTACAAGATTTGTCCATTTGGACATCTCTATCCATAAAGTTGACATTTCTTGATTTCTCTGTTTTAATTCTTTTGCACTCATTACCATTCTCTCCAGCCTCCACTCCCCGTTCCCACCAATTTCACATCAAGGATCTTCTGATAGTTCCAGAATCCCAGAAGCATTAGACATGTACTAGAGGGTACACCATGAATAGAGAAGGTGCTGGTGATTTTTGTTTTGATAGCAGAATGACAGACAAGAGACAGGAAAGAATCACATAATTGGAGAAGCAACTGGCTCTTCTCCATTCTGGAAGGAAGAAGACATTGTCAAGAGCTATGCAGTAACCTCACTATAAGGATCGTATAATTCACTTAAGAGTCAAATAGAGGAGGACTCTGTCCATGAGCAGAAAGATAGAATATGGCTAGAATATGGCTAGAAGGACAGAATAGAACTGGCTCAGAGAACTCCATAAATTTTACACTTTGTACATATTTCAGAATATAGGAAGACAAGGTCTTACTAGTCTTCCAAATTTCCAGAAGAGTTTTGCATAAAGGACTTGGAATGGGCCAGTGTGGAGGCCTTCTACATGTTTTTGTTATAAATTCTCACTTGAACTGTCATATAAACTTTGGGCTTTAACATTAAAAAATAAAGAGAAAATAAAAGTGAAATACTAGAGAAAGGAAAAAAAGCATTTGGAGAAAATTATTATAATTCAAACTTGGAAAGCAGAACAAAGACATTTTCAGTTAAATCTGTGTCCTCTCATACTTCAAACATTATTCACAGGGTTTTTTCTTATATTCATTGTTAAAATTCAAAAGAAATAGCAAATCATAAAGAAAAGAGGAAAAATCCCCATAATCCTATAAACTACAAATAGCAATGAGATCATTTTATGTGTCCATATATTTGTTTACAAATATTTATTCATGAAATGTACTGAACACCCACTGTGTGCCAACCACTTTCCTGGGTGCTGGAGATGTACATGTTTCACAGAGCTTCTACTCCATAGAGTGGACAGGCAAATGAGCAAATAAAAACTTAATAGAGTAGCCTCCCATTATTGGCAGTTTTGCTTTTCATAGTTTTGGTTACTTAATTCAACCACAGCATAGAAATATTTAATGAAAAATTCCAGAATTAACAATTCATAAATTGTCAATTGCATGCCTTTGTGAGTAGTATAATAAAATCTCACACTGTCCCACTCTGTCTCACCCAAGTCATAAATCATTCCCTTTTCTGGCATACCTGTGTTCTAACTCCCTGTTTGTCACTTGGTAATTGGCTGTTATCACATTGACTGCTGTGATATCACAGTGCTTCTGTTCACTTTACCATTGTTTTACTTCCCAATGATCCCCAAATGCTGATAATTAAGATATGCTAGGAAGAAACCATAAGGTATTTCCTTTAGGTGAAAAGGTAAAAGTTCTTAGCTTAATAAGCCAAAGGGGGAAAAAAAGCCAAAGGTTGCTGAAATCAATTGTAAGTTATTATTGCTCATCTCTTAGTATGTGTACTTTATATGTTAAATTATAGTGTTTGATGCTATCTGCAGATCCAGGCATCCACTAGAAGTCCTAGAGTATATCCCACAGTTGAGGAGGGAGCAACAGAATAAAACAAGTGAAACCCTGGGCCAGTGGGGGTCTGTGGAGAGAGAATAGTCTAGGCAGAGAGCAATAAATGCAAAAGGCATAATCTTGAAACATGCTTGACATTCTCAGGGAATAGCAAGAGACCAGAGAGATATCAGAGGAGCCAGATCTTATATTATCTTTTACTTCATGGTGAGGACTATGGATTTTCTTTGGATGAGAATGAGAGCCATTGGAGGATTTGGGGTGAGGTTAAATCTGGCTGCTGTGTGGTTAACCAATTAAAAATGGACCAACTGGGAACAGGAAGACCATCTGGGTGATTTTCATAGCCCTTCACCTAAAATATGAAAGTGGCATACGTAGCAGTTTGATGGGGTAACTGATTATTTGACAGAGAAGATGTGAAAGGAGAAGTCAAATGTGACCCCAGGATTTTGACCCAGTAATGTGCATATTTGTGGAAATCAATTGGAATAATCAGTCTGGGGAGCAGACTCAAGCACCCCATTTTAGACATTTAATATCTGTTATACATTCAGGTAGGCAATTGAGTAAGGTGCAATTTAGAAACCTGCACTTGGGAAATAGAGACATATGGGTCAGTGATCTGCTATGTAAATGTAAATGTAAAAAGCCATTTCCAAACCATGGGTCATCTAGATTTTCCTCTGTGTGGTCTTCTAGGAGTTTTGTGGTTTATCTCTTCTACATGCATATCTATGGACCAGCTGTTCCAGAACCATTTGTAGACATCTATGTTCCAAAGAACATAAAACACCAAATGTGAACTCAAATTTGTACTATGGGCTTCGAGTTGTAATTTATGAATTCTAACAAATATACTTCTCTGGTTTGAGATTTTGGTAGCAGGCAAGCCTCTGCATAGAGTATACAGGAAATCCCTATGCCTTCCTCTCAATTTTTCTGTGAAAATACTTTTTAAAAATAAAAGCTGGGCTCTAATGACTTACACTTTTAATCTTAACTATTCAGGAGGCTGAGATCTGAGGATAACAGTTCAAAGTCAACCCAGCAGAAAAGTCCATGAGACTCCTAGCTCCAATTAACTACCAAGGGGGGAAAAATCCAGATTAAAGCTATGGTTTATCCAGCTAAGGACCTCTGGAGTGACTGTGCATTAAACTGAATTGGTCTAGTTTGATATGGAGTGAACTGAAGTTGGATTTAACCAGATTGAAGTATTACAGTGGAAAAGGAGTGGAGAGGCCACGGATTTGCAAGGAGGTAGTTAGAACGATGGATATGGAGTCTGACAGTGGGGACAGCTGTGTGAGTGGGCAGTAGGCAGCATTACTGATTAATGGAAAACTGATTTTTTGTTATTTTATTAGTAAAGGAGGATCAATACATTCAACCCATTTGTCCTGGCCTAATATCTCAGGACAAATGGCCATGCACTTTACTTAATTTCCTTTTTTTATTTTGGAACAGGAGAAAAAATTGAGGCAACTATTGCTCTGTTTCCTATCTTTGCTGATTTTATTTGCTATGAAATCTTCATCCTTTCTGTATTTCTAAATTAAATATTGTAAAACATACCAAGAAAATAAACAAAATTAGAAAGTTATTTCTAAGTAGGTCTCCTCTAAATCACAAAAGCTCCTTGTGGTGAAATCTCTTCCTAGTGATTTTTGCTGCGATTTTATTTGACTTTAAGAAACATCTATGTTTTCTAAATTTCTCTCTGGAGTTGAAATTCATGATTTTAAAAGAAAGTCCTTTTCTTTGTGAAAGAATACATTTAAATCCCATTTTCAGGGATGTCCTTATGTCAGAATCTAAGGCCAGCCAGCCAAAATTACTGTTCCCTGCATGAGGCTCTACTTCCCTGTGGAGAGATGCTGGGAGCAATTGTTAGGCTGAGGTGTTGCTAACCTCTTGTTTAATCTTCATAATCACCCTATGGAACTCCTGTAGCTCAGGTTTCCCTGTCCCAGAATTGAACTTTTCTGTTCAAATGCTGCTCCACTGACAAAACTGTGTGAGAAAGGACAGCTATCCATCCCATAATAGGCTTCCAGTGATGGAAAACTCCTCCCTGAATGTCTGAGTTCTAGGAGAGAGTGGAGTTGAACAAGCAAAATATTGTTAATAACACTTCCTCTATGTTTGAAGAAAAGAAGTTTAGTAGAAGAGCTGAATTGGTAATTAAAGAGATCCAAAGCATGTTGCTTACCATCTAGGACCTCCATACCAGCTAAGGATTCTCAGCATTTCTAGCCACTATCCTTTATTGAGTATCAGAAAACCTCATTGTCCCTTGTCCAGGATCTGGAGTATTGCAGTCAACTCATGCTAAACTATACTTCTCGATTTGGATTGCTTATCAGCACCCTTAACTTAATGCAAAGAAGTTACTTTTACAAGACTCATTAGCCTCATCTATGTAGATATCGAGGAAGAGTTTTCATGGATCAAGGCAGAACTTAGAGATTTCTTTTCCATCACACTTCCCATTCACTCATCATTCTTTTATGAAGCATATATTTATGGGGAACCTACTATGTTTTGGTCACTCTTTAAGAAAATAAAACGTATAAGAAACCCGTACCCGCTAGGGGTACGATGCAAAAAGAAACAGTATATCCACAGGTTTTGTGTTGTGTGTGTGTTTTTTTTAAAGTATAATGTTAGTTAACAAATTCCATAAAGAAATTAGGCAAAGAATTTAACTTATAGACTAGGTAGTTGTCATCTCATGAAAGTTACTCACCACTGTGAGAAGTATCTGGTTTGGCTGAAAAAGGGACCAATTTTTTTATGTTGATGCTTCTAGAACACAGACAGGGAAGCATGTGCTTTAATAAACAGACAATTCTTTCTCTTTACAGCAAAGGAGAAAGGAGAGAAGAAGTTGTTTGGATTCTCCTTTGTGCCCCTGATGCAGGAAGATGGCCGGACTCTTCCAGATGGCACCCACGAGCTCATTGTGCATAAGGTACCAACAGTCATGTGTTGGTGACAGGCTGTGGAAAGCAGGGGACAATTACTAACTCACTGTCTTTTCATGCTAGAAAAATGCATGAGAATGATTGAAAACAAAACTCTTTTGTGATGCTGGTCACAAGAAGAAAGATGCTTGGAAAAGTATTATTTCTACATTCTGCAATATTTTAAGGATGATTAATGTTTTTCATCTTAACGTAGGGATAGATATTTGGGTAAACTTTATGTTGGTCTTTTCCATTGCTGTGATAGGATCAAATAAACCTTACAAAAAACTTTTTAATTCATGAGTTCCTGTATATCACTGTACTACAAGTCACCTTAGCTAACTCAGCATTACTGGATCTTTTTTTTTTTGGTCTGTATTTGTCATGACAACTTCCATACTTGTCATAAAACTATGTGCCACAAAGCATACTGTTGTAATCAGAGAGAAAATTCAGATGATGAGAACCTTGTAGAATTTATCTTATTATTACAAGAATACTAATAAAAATAAAATATAAATTAAAAATAAACATCCTTTGATGCTGCTGGATTTTGCTTCTCCCAGAAACACTTAGCATATCCAGACTTGAGCTTTTGAATTTCACCTTCATCCACTCCCTCCAGGAAGAGATCTGCAGGTTGTTCTTGATCATCACATACTGCCTCCTTAATCCAACACTTCTACCTCTTGAATAGCGTTTTAATCCAGGGAACCTAAACTTCAGGTAACTTTCAGAATTATGTAGGGGTTGGGTTTGTTCTTTTTTTCTTTTTTCTTTTTTTCTTTTTACTTTCATCCCCAACACTAAGTTGCTAAGTTGTCCAGTGACTGAGTTCAAATAGCCCCTTTCCCATAAAGCCTTCCCTTTTCCAGCAGTATCTAGCTGTCTCATACAGTTTTGTAATTAGTATTAACAGATGAATGCAGAGTCCAGATGTATAAGAACCTTAAAGCAGGGACTTGTATTCATTTCCTGTTGCATTTCTAATTGTGAGGAAAATAGTAGGAAATTAATAAATGTATAACAATAATATTAATATTAGAGCTGAGTGGCCCCACTGAAAAGGTCAACACAAAATGATATTTTACCTCAAACACGATTTAAATCGAGTTTGCTTTAACTGGAGCCAACTAGATTGTCTAACAGTATAATTTTTGTTTGAGTCTCTGCTGCACACAAATTACAAGCCCTTAATTTGATTAATCGTGCTATAAGTTTTGTGCTAGATTTTTTTCTAAATAAATTGTAAATAAGGATCTCTCAGTGTATCTTAGGTAAATATAACGTGTGTGCAAAGACTGTGACTGACTACTCTGTACTTGTCACATATCTAAGACAGTAGTCAACAGCTCAGCAAGTAGCCTAGGGCCATTCACTACTATAACCAAGAGATTTTAATGCTAAGAAAAAAACAAACTAGATCAATGACAAGCTATGCAAGATCAAAGATAGAGAGTACCTTGCTACTGTAAAGCCTGCATTTTCATATTTGCATTATAGCCTCCAAGAACTTGTCTGGCCAGATCTGGATTCAGACCCAAGCATGGTAAAATAGATTACTAGTTCTCAATCTTCTCTCTCATTTTTAGACTTGTACAGATTCTGACTTTTCAAAGCAAACACAGCAAGTAGCTGCCTCAAGAGACCTTGTTTCTCCTAAAGAAACCACTCAGTTAATTCTCCTGTCATTGATCCACCATCATCCATTCACAATATCATGGTTCACACTTTAGCTGTATTTGTGTCTCCCACAAAAGAACAGGTTCTTTAATGGAGACAGTATCTTTAATGGAGACGGTGTCTTTTATTCTCACACCTATATTGCCTTGTTCCTTGCCTCCATTGAATTAGGCATGGGAGCATTCCTTTAGCCAAAGTTGAAACAATGGATATATAGATAATCCCCCAGAATGAACTCGATCGTATTTTATCATCTCACCCAGTATGGCGGAACAACCACACTTTGCTATGATGAAAACCCATCTCCCTGCTGTACTTACCAGAAGAACTTCACAGCTGCAGTTTAAGGCTGCTGCCTTGGTATCATATATATTGAACACAGAAAAACACCCAGCTGTGACTCTGTTCTACATGCTATTTCCAAACTGCATGTTTCAGCCTTATTATCTGTGTCTTATAAACTCTTGACCTTCTACTAAGGGAGAGATTGTTCATTCCCATTTGTTTTCTCTGTCCATTCTCTGGCTCCAGATCTCACAATATAGACTGTCTTCCCCCAGGCTGAAGAATGTCTACAGCAATCCACTCCAGAAGAGTAGTTACTAAGTCTTTTTACTCCCTATCTTCTGCTAGTGAACTGTGTATTTCCTGTAAGGAGGCTGAGTGAAACTTGCTGTCATTTACCCCTGCTATATAGGCCTGCCTACCTTCTGTGATGCTGTTTCTGTCTTCACAGTCCTTAAGGCCTATTTCTTGAGTCCTTGCCATCAGATGAAGGAGCAAATGATCTCTAGGTCATTTGTTGTGTTTCTGAGTTCTTGGAGTGTCAACCTCATTTGCTCCTATCTCCTCTTCCTATCACTGTGTCCAGGTTGCAGTGTGGGTTCAGAACAATGAATGACCACTTCACTATAAGACTCATAGGCTTACTTCTTCTCAGAGCCCTCTCCCACGGTATCTTCCACATGTGTACTTTCTGGAGGGAAGTGAGTGTTTTTGTCTTCCTTGACCATATTTTATCTAGAAACCAAATAAAATTATATAGCTTTGTTCCAGAAAAACTCAAAAGATGATTAAAACAGCAATCAAGAGAGATACTGTTCCATGGTAGTTGTAGGCACAAACTTTGGTTTTCATCCTGGTGCTAACACTAATATTGTGACATTAGCCAAATCATAGAAGTACCGCAGGTTATAATATTCCTGACCTATGAGTGTTCTCTGAGAAGGAAATATATCATTGCCTGAGATAGCACACTACTAGTATACTGGCTTGATTTAAAGTGTCCAGTGTCTATATTATATGTTAAGCATGTAAACTAAAAAAACTCAACGAACAATAAAATGTATGCTATAAGAATATCCCATTGCAGCAATGAGATGTACAAGTCGTTATGTCGAAAAACGAACTTTACAACTTTGGGGGGGGGGGGAGGATCGGGTGGGGGGAGGTAGAGGGAGTCTGGGAAGGGATGGGAAGGGGAAACAAAGAGGAGGCAACAATGCTTGATAAGAAATGTACTCGTTATCTTGCCCATGTAATTGTAACCCCTCTGTATGGTATTCTCACAATTTAAAAAAAAAGAATATCTATTGAATTATTTTAAATTTTCAGGAAAGTATTATAAACTCATTAACAAGAGATTACTTACACTACTGAGTTGAGAAAAATTCTTTTTCCTCTCATACCTCACACACACAAATACCACCATCCCCACACACATCAGTGTTCCTAGTGCAAGTTCCTCAAATGTTTGTACTCAGCCTGTTCATATTAATTATTCTGTTTTGTACTTGATCAGCAGTGATAGAGGTTAGCGATAAGAAGATATTAAACTCTCAGACTCTGATGCTGAGCTTTTAGCCCAGGGGGAGAAGTGAAGTGAACCAGGTTGTTGGAACTGATCTGGCCACAATGGCTGGTTCCGATGTAAGCTAAATGTATTATTCACAGTGCCCCCTAGAGACAGGACATAGCTGTGGCATCGTCACTCAAAGTGAAAAATGGAGCTTCTTGAGCATATCAAGGAGGAATTTCAAGAGGCTGCCCAAAGAGCCCTAGTCAATTAGCTGGTGAAAAGAAAGATTAAGAGACAGATCATAGAATTTCTATGAACATATGGAGCAAACCAGACTAAGAGAGCTCCAGTTCTTGGGGCAGAAGCCTGGAAATAACTGGACAGTGGTGCTTAGATACAAAACTATCTTGAAGTGATAAAAAAAATATTTAGAATTGCTACAGTACAAGAAAATGATGGAGGCTATTTATTATGATTGTACTGGTACTTGTGTTATGGGACAGGTTTGCTATTAAACATCTCACAATGTTCTAATTGTTTCTCAAGTTGCTAGAGACATCTATCTTTCCTATGGATTATTAAAAACAAAAATATTTTGTGGATCACACAAAATAGTCTTAAATGCCAAAGAGATTCTGTTTGTTAAACTCTTGCCTGTTACCAAGACAGTAGCATTGAAACAAACTTAAAGAAACAAAGTTCATATTTGTTATAAAATGTATACCATAGCTGGGCACCAGTAGTTACACCTGTAATCCTAGGTACTCAGGAGGCTGAGATCTGAGAATTCCAGTTCGAAGCCAGTCAGGCAACAAAGTCCATGAGAAAGTCCACCAGAAAACCAGAAGTGGTCTGTGGCTCAAGTTTTAGAGTGCTATCCTTGAACTGAAGAGCTGCGGGACACCACCTGGGCCCAGAGTTCATGCCCCACAACCGACAAAATAAAATAAAATAAAGTAAAATAAAATGTATACCATAAATCAGCTAAGCTATAAGTGTTCTAGTCCTGTTAAAATAGATTTTCAGAATTTTAATTTAAAATCAAATTTGTCACTATTAAAGCAGAATATAAATAAGCCCAAATAAAACAACAATGTCTTTGGCAATAGCACATTATAAATGATAGGAGCACTAACCTTGAACACAAAAGGCTCAGGGATAGCATGCAAACATCAGAGGACACATGTGCATGTACTTGCATACATGCATATACATACGCGCGCGCGCGCACACACACGCACGCACGCACACACGCACACACGCACGCCAGTGAGATTACCTAAAGTACCATTTCTTTAATTGCTGGTTTTTAGTGAGAATAGTTTAACAGCTGTTTCAGAAGAAATATTGGAGAAATTTAAGCATCTTTTCAAAAACCCTATGGTCACTGCAAATATGATTTCTTTAGCATGTTTCCAATGTTTCAGAGCCTATGTTAAAGGCTTTATGTAATCTAATTCTTCTGACAAGAAGGGTTTAGAGAAAGACATCATAAACCTCAACTTCTTTAATAACTTGATGTGGTCACCTCGCTTGAAAGTGACAATAGCTAGGATTTAAATCCAAACTGATATGAGTCAACAATCTGTGCTCGCTTTCTTTTTTATTTTCATTTACATTTTACTTAAAAGCCAAATTCAGTTTTTAAAACTATTTGGAATGTTTCCAAGCTAATAAATGCTAGTTATAGAACTTACGTTTAACAATTTTTATAAAGTCTCTCTTCCTTCTTTCCTTTTTTTTTTTTAACAGTGTGAAGAAAATACAAACCTTCAGGATCCCACCCGCTACCTCAAACTTCCCTTTTCCAAGGGCATTTTTCTTGGGAATAATAATCAAACTATGAAGGCTACCAAGGAGTCTTTTTGGATAACATCATTTCTCTGTTCCACAAAACTCACACAAAATGGTAATGTATAATGCTGTTTTATTTAAAAGCCCTTGTGTTTCAGTGCACGTGTGAATTCTGGTCAGCATATGCAGCAGACACTAACGTTATACTTAAAAGCTCGACACCAGAAAAAGTTGATCTTCCCATGTAAAATTTCTAATAAAAGGCAAACAGTAGTAACCCCATGATCTGGTGGATGGATGACACTTAACAGCTTCAAAATTATCCTAAATGTTGGAAACTAAGCACAAGGCTCCTCGAATAAAACCATTAAAACCCAGCTGCATTTAGGGGGGAAAAGATTTTAAAAAATACCACCACCTTAATCTTTTGTTTTATAGCTCCATAAACTGTGCTAATTGCAGGCTTTAGAATAAAGCCTGTTTTTTGTTTAATTAGATGGATATTGCTTTTCTGCTATAACATTCCTTTTTATGTCAGTGATTGTTTAGCAAGTTATGATTAATAAAACAAGCTCTTTTCCTTGGCAAATTGTTCTAAAAACACTGTCTGTAATGAAAGAAGTAAATTAAACATTTTTGAGTTTTTCATAGTCACTGTGTAAGGCTTCTGGCTAGTGTCCCAAATGCTATATTAATAAGCTAGATTCATTATGTTGAGGAGAATCTCTTCATAATAAGGTATTGTATTTCACTGGAAGCTCCTAAGATAAACATAAGTGTTATTAGCTCTCTCTTTGATGTCATGGAAAAGTATTAGTAGAATGAAGCATAGTTCTCCCTTAAAATGTTATGTCAGAAAAGAAGCAAAATATAGCTTTTTTTGACTACTTTTAAAATTCCTCTTATTTTTAGCATGCAATGTTAGTATAGTTATATGGGATAACAACCTATAGTGAATTCCATTAGACTTTCTCTGTATTCAGTGATTAGTGGTTTTACTTTTAACAAATATATTTATTGACAGAACTCCATTTGTTATTATCAAGGTTTACCAAACCTTGAGTATTTGTTATGGAATCATTCAACTCCTGTGAAGATTAGGTTATATTCTTTTCCTTTGTCTTCCTTCTTTCCTTTTTTCCTTCCTTCCTTCTTTCCTTTTTTCTTTCTTTTTTTCCCCTTCTTTTTCTCCCTCTTTTTTTCTTTCTTTTGGTGGTACCAGTGTTTAAAGTTAGGGCCTCAAACTTACTCAGCTGGCACTCTACCACTGAGCCATGCCTCCAGCCCAGGTTTTTGCTGCTTAATTGGTAGGCTTCAAACCTGGATCCTCCAGATCTTAGTCTTTTAAGTAGCTCAGATTACAGTCATGGGCCACTGGTGCCTAACTCCTTTATGGAAGTTAAAGATAATAAAATCAGCCTATTATTGACTCTCTTAAACTACATTTCTGTTCATCCTGTGTAAGCTTAGTTATATACCTTTATAGAGCTTATAATCACTTTTAACTGAATGTTCCAAATAGGATAGTTCTGGAATGAGCTTTAACCATTACCCATAAACTTATTGGCTTAGAACAACACAAATGTATTGCCCTATAGTTCTGGAAATCAGTGGTCTAAAAGAGGATGTCAGTTCCACTAAGCTAAAATCAAAATATTAGCAACACTATATTCCTAATGGAAGTTTTAGGAATAATTTTTTTAACCTTTCCTAAATTCTCTACTCACATGCCTACATTTCTTAGTTCCTCACATCATCTTATGTCATCAAAAGATGTGAGTAGATCTTCAAATCTCTCTTAACTCTGACCTCTTCCATATATTAAGAGCCTATATGGTTACTTTTAGCTGGAAAATCCAATGTAGTCTACTATTAGCTGATCTTTAATTATGACTGTAAAGTCTCTTTTGCTGTTTAAGATAAACATATTCACAGCTTCTAGGAAGTAGAGTGTGGATATCTTTGGAAGCCTTTTTTTTTTTTCCTGTATCACACAGGTAAACCTTAACAATAGATCTACACCATCAAAATACTTGGTCCTAAGCTGGTACTGGTGGCTCACACCTGTAATCACAGTTCAAAACCAGCTTGGCAGAAAAATCCATGAGATAACTATCTCCAATTAACCAGTAAAAAGCCAGAAGTGGAAGTGTGGTCCAAATGGTAGAATACTAGCCTTGAATAAAAAAGCCAAATGAGAGCACAAACCCTGAGTTAAGTCCTAATACCAGTGCATGTATTCATGCGCACGCACGCGTGCACACACACACACAACTGAAAACTGGGTTGATCCTAAATTTTCTCTAATAATAGGACTTAGAATGTTCGGTAGAATTATGAACATAATTTAATTCTCCTGAAAAAATGAATCAAATCCTGAAAATTAGAAGTTGCTATTTTATAGAATAAGAGTACATGTTTGTATAAATATGGAAAATAAACTATTCATGAAGTCATTAAGTTAAGTGCTTTGTTATATGGAAGATGAGATCAGAATTCCATGCAATACCTGACTCATTTTGGGAGACAGAAACATGCTTCATTACCATTTTGACTTTGATTAACTCTGTCAATATAGGACAGCTCAAAATGAGTCAATGAGTGAATAGTATGTTCCAAGAGTTAGAAAAGGGAAAGGCAGTCAGTTTATCTTTCTGAAATTTACATGCTAGACACACATCTCTGTGAAGAAGCAATCCAGTTCCAAATTGGAGTTAAATTAGTATGTATTCATTTTACTTAACTTGGAAAATACACAAATCTTATTTCTGCTATAGTGAGACATGTAGCAAGTGATACAGTCTCTAGGAGCAGTTTCCTAGAACAGATTTACATCTATAGATTCCTAAAATGCCTCTGTGTATACTCAAAATGTTACCCAGTGTTGCTCCTGGATACTGTACCAAGGCCACAACACATATCTGTGATTGCCAGATCACAGATTTTAAACTTCTGAACAGTAAGGGTCATATCATCCACATACTTTATGCCTCTTGGCAGGTCAGCGATAGTATGTACTTAAGCATGCTTCTTGAATAGAATGTAGAAAATTCATATTTTCAGTATTTTGAAAGAATAAAATATTCAGTATTAGCAGCTAACCTATCTTCAAATGATTGAAACAGAGGAGAGATAACACTGAGTTGCATTCTGCATACTCAGTCTCATCCAGACAAACATACTCCACTTACTCCATTATGAGCATTCCTAAGACCCATCAGCCTTCTTGCCAGAAACGTGAGCTTATCTGGACCACTGTTAGTTTTCTAGCTCTGCTCAGGAGCCTCCTGTTCTAGCTTCCCATTGGGAGGCCACCTTGTAGTCTCCTTGTGGTCAGCAGAGCCTCTTCCTTCTGCCCCACACTGCTCACATTGGGTAGGGCCCTGAGCATCTTGATGCTACTTCAATTTAAAGGAAGGAGGAAGCTCAGGCAATGAGTGAGAACTGGAATGGGTAAGGAGTGGGAAATGAGGAGAGAATGACATGGAGGAAATGCATTGAGGGTTTTTTTCCCATCTATATTTTTTATTGTAAAAATACTGTACAGAGGGGTTACAGTTACATGAGTACGGTAATGAGTACATTTCCTATCGAGCATTGCTACCTCCTCCTTTGCTTTTCTCCTACCATCCCTTCCCTCCCCACCTCCCTAAATCCCCCAACCCCCTTAGTTGTAAAGTTTATTTTCAATGTAGTGTTTTGTACATCTCATTGTTACAATGGGTCAACCTGTACCCTTATTTCAGCATTTTGTTATTTCCCTTCCCCTCCCCTATTTAGAAAAATGTATATACAAGATTCAGGGCACCAGAATCAAATACAGTGAAAAAACAGGGGTTATACCATGGGGGAAGCACATACAAAGAAACAAAAAAAATCACATGGTACATTATAAATACATTAAAAACAATAGCAAGAAAGAGAAAACCACTTGTGTCCCTATCTTGGGGTTCATTTCACTTAGCATCATCTTATATGGTCAACATGTACATAGCTTTTGAGCTTTTCTGCTTGTCCTATACATATACTAGTTATTGCAAATAAGGGAAACCATGGTACCTATGTTTCTTTGGGCCTGGCTTACTTCACTTAATATAATTTTTTTCAAATCTTTCCATTTCCTAACAAATGGGGCAATGTCATTCTTTCTGATGGAGGCATAGAATTCCATTGTGTATATATATATATATATATATATATATATATATATATATATATACCACATTTTCTTGATCCATTCATCTGCTGAGGGGCATCTGGGTTGGTTCCATATCTTAGCTATGGTAAATAGTGCTGTGATAAACATAGTTGTGCTGGTAGCTTTAGTATGACCTTGTTTGTGATCGTTTGGGTAAATGCCCAAAAGTAGGATTGCTGGATCATAGGGGAGCTCTATGTGGAGTCTTTTGAGGAACCTCCATACTGCTTTCCAAAGTGGTTGAACAAGTTTACACTCCCACCAACAATGCAGTAGGGTTCCCTTCTGGCCACATCCCCTCCAGCATCTGTTGTTATTAGATTTCTTGATGATAGCCATTCTAACTGGTGTGAGATGGTATCTCAATGTTTTGATTTGCATTTCTTTTATGGCTAGAGGAGTTGAGCATTTCTTCATGTGTCTATTGGCCATTCTTATTTCCTCTTCAGAGAAGTATCTCTTTAGGTCTTTAGCCCACTTATTAATTGGGTAGTTGTTTCTTTGAAAATTATTGTTGGGGGATTTAGTTTTTTGGGTTCTAAGTATATTTTAGATATGAGACCCTTGTCCGTTGTATGGCTAGTGAAGATCTTCTCCCAGTCCGTGGGCTTTCTATTGATCTTGCTAGCTATGTCCTTTGCCATGCAGAAGCTCTGCAGTTTCATGCAATCCCATCTGTCCAATCTTTCTTTGATTTGTTGTGTTTCTAGGTCTCTATTAAGAAATTTTCAGCCTGTGCCAAGGAGCCCTAGAATTTCTCCTATTCCTTCCTGTAATGTTTTCAGGGTGTCTGCTTTTACGTTGAGGTCTTTGATCCATTTGGAGTTGATTCTGATGTAGGATACTATATAAGGATCTAGCTTTAGTTTTCTGCAGGTGTTTAACCAATTTTGCCAGCACATTTACTGAAGAGGCTGTCTTTCTTCCATTCTATTTTTTTTAGCTCCGTTTTCGAAGATTAGGTGGCTATAGGTCTGTGGGTTCATTTCTGGGTCTTTAGTTCTATTCCATTGGTACTCAGGTCTGTTTTTGTGCCAGTACCAAGCTGTTTTGATTACTATGGCTTTGTAATGGAGTTTGAAATTTGGAATTGATATTCCTCCAGCGCTGTTCTTTCTGCTTAGGATTGTTTTTGCTATTTGGGGTCTTTTATTGTTCCATACGAATTTTTGGATTTTTCTTCTATTTCATTGAAGAATGAGGTTGGGATATTAATGTGTATTGTATTGAATTTGTATATAGCCTTTGGCAGTATTGTCATTTTCACAATGTTAATCCTCCCAATCCAGAAGCTTGGGAGATTTTTCCACTTCCTTAGTTCTACTTTAATTTCCTTTTTCAGGTTCTTAAAGTTTTCGTCATAGAAAGGGTGGCAGGGAGGGAAGTTAGATTAAGTGAGAAATAGGAGGGAAGTAGAAAGCAGAATAATAGAGCCTTGTCTTTCTCTCCTGGATTTCCCTGTGGGAATATCTGATATTCTAAATATAACTAATCAGTTTTTAAAAGGCTTCAATCATGTCCCAACAATGGCTGTGTTAGATATAAAATATTAAGTATTTTAGGGGTTTTGTTATAAAAATATCTTTTTAAATTGATATTTTAAATTTTTCTTCATTTTTATATTCTAAGCCATCCTCCTTTTATTTCTGCTTGTTGTACATCTCTATTTTATACAGATTGACTATTCCTTATCTGAAATGCTAGAGACAAGAAATGGTTAATAGTAAGGGATTTCAATTTGAGAATGTTTTTACATACAGGCAACCTTGTCAATGGCATCCAGGTCTGAATATGAAATTCATTTATTTCATGTACATCTTATACATATAACCTGAGAAAATTTGGTATAATGTCTGTAGTGCACCTGCATTTTCCCTGTGACTGGTCTCGTGAGGTCAGTTGTGCAATTTTCCACTCGGGGTGAGTGTCCTGTCAGCAGACTCACAAAAGTCTGCTTTTCAGAGCACTTCAGATTCTGAATTTTCAGATTAGGGATGTTCAACTTGTACTTAATTTCTAACTATAAATCCTTTGGGGACAACTGTTTCTCTTTCCCCCTGAGATTCTTACACTTTTTCTCACTTTTGTCTACCTTACATTTTTCTTCTCATCTTAAGTACTTGATTGATTTTGAGGGGTTGGAGTGTGGGTTGTTTCTTTGTCTTATCTCTTTATTTCTCAGAAAGTCCATTTGAGTTTCTTCTAAAATAAGAGCTTTGAAGTGAATTTCTCAGTATTTAGTCCAGAAAATGTTACCTGGTCTTTCCCTACTGCTTGAGTACTCAGGCCAGCCCTGCCAGATGCCACTGCCCTGTGCATTCCTGCTTGTACCTAATCTTGATAGTTTTCATCATCTTCACTGGCCCGTTGATATTATCATCACCTATTTCCTTTGGAGATGAATGAACTTCTTAAGGGTTGGTAAATTCTTCCCAAGAAAGATAAAGGCACAACTTACTTGCTTTCTAGGTGAAGAGGCTCTTAGAGGACCTCCTAGACGAGGATCTCCATGGCAGTTTAGAAGGGAAATTGAAGAATTGTACTCTGCTAGCCCAGAATCTGGAAATGTAACATCCCAGATTATAAAGTCCACAAACTGACATTCTCAGGTCTGAGGACTTGCTAAATGGCCTGCCAGTTTATTGGGCTGATTGGCATTGTGTAGAGACCTTTCAGTATTTCAGTGTTCAGGACACCTTATCAATCAAGAAAAACATACATTTGGCTGGAAAGGTGGCTCAGTGATAGAGCGCTTGCTTGCAAGCAGGAGGCCCTGGGTTCGATTCCTCAGCACCACATAAGCAAAAAGAAAAAAAAGCCGGAAGTGGCGCTGTGGCTCTAGTGGTAGAGCGCTAGCCTTGAGCTGAAGAGCTGAGGGACAGCGCCCAGGCCCAGAGTTCAGGCCCCACTACTGGACCCAAAAAAGAAAAAAAGAAAACCATACTTGCTGGGTGGAATTATTAGGCATGGTGTTTATGTTCAGGGCAGTCCAGGCATGAATGGAGCAAATTCCCAGCTCTCATGAAACTCTCATCTTACCTGACAGAGGCAAGAAATTTCAAGAATCATTTGTCAGCTGCATACTCTCTTCTTAGTGCTAGTACAGTCAATCCAAGCCCAACTATATTTTTTTCTTGGAGTTTCCCATCAAGTTTGGGCATAGAAAAATAAGCAACAGAGTAAGTCGTCCATATTTTGGAGCACCTGGAAGGCTACAAATTCCTGGATGAAGCAACAATCTAATCTGAGAATTGAATAATAAGTTAAGGCAGGGAGAAATAATAGAAAACAGTGAAATAAATGCCATGCTAGAAAGGGCCATTCACAGTCAGTGGGAGCTGAAACTTGAGTTGCCAAAGTTGATGAGTTGCCAGGATTGAGCAACAAGTTTAAGAAATTAGCTTTTACCAGGAGAACACTTGTACATGGGGCGTTCTTATCTACAGCAACGATTAATATTCCTTTTTCGTTTGAAAAGGTGACATGCTTGATCTCTTGAAGTGGAGAACTCACCCAGACAAGATCACAGGCTGTCTCTCTAAACTAAAAGAAATAGATGGCTCTGAGATAGTAAAGGTATATACTATTTCATTACCCTCTTGGAAACTCAGAATAAAAAAAAATTATATGGGAAAGAGAAGTAATACTTTGTTCATGTATTTATCATTTCTATTTTTAACAGTTTCTGCAAGATACATTGGATACCTTATTTGGGATTTTAGATGAAAACTCTCAAAAATACGGGTCTAAAGTGTTTGATTCTTTGGTAAGTTCAGATTCTTAATTATAATTATGATCTTTCAGTATTGACTTCAGGAGGCTGAGGTTGATACACCTGACAGTACAAGAGTTAATCCTAACCGTAACAAAAAAAAAAAAAACATGATTTGCACTTGGTTTTATAATAAGCTCAATATTCTTTTTTAGGTTCACATAATCAATTTGCTGCAAGATAGCAAATTTCATCATTTTAAGCCAGTCATGGATACTTATATTGAGAGTCATTTTGCTGGGGCACTGGCGTACAGGTAAGGCCCTTTATCTTGTAATTGGTTGAAGAAGCAGTTGCTCTTAAGCTTGCCTAAGCAGAGGAGCTGCTTAGGAGAATTTAAAATGGAGTAGAGAATGATATGAAGCCCAGCCACTAAAGTATCTATCAAGATGGTATCTTACCGCATCACACATCCTTGTTTAATGGCTAGAACTTATTTTCATTAAAAGAAAAAATGAACTTCCTGCGGTCTGTTCCTAAAACTTAAGATTTTTCTTCTCATCTCTATATCATTGGGTATTCATATATATATATATATGAATATATATATATATATATGAATATATATATATATATATATATATATATATGAATACCCAGTGATATATATATATATATATATATATATATATAAAATATTAGGTGATTTCATTTTTTTCTGTCCAGGGCCCCATTTAATCACTACACAGCTTGATGCTCATATTTGTCCTGAAGAAAGAAATACAAATGGAAAGCAACCATTGCCTTTATACGTGGGTGCCTATTACATACATATCAAAGTGCTATAATGTGAAGACATGTCCCCAGCCTCTGGGGACATGTTAGCCACTGGAACCTGCCTTTTCATGGTAGCTGCCATTTTCAACTGTTCCCTTTTTTCCTACCAGCTCAGTTTGCATGTTAGGAAGGCTGAGAATGAATGAATAATGACAGGCTTCAGGCAGACAAGTTGATAATTGACCAAAGGCAGCAGCTTCTGTCTTTGAATCTTGTAAAGAACATCTTTCTAGTCTTTGCCCCTCCTGAAATACAACCCTGGGATGCATTTGATGTTCTCTCTACTCATCCAGTATGGGCATTGCTTTTCTATCTACATTTCTGCTTTATGCCTTAGACATCCATTCCCTAAGAGCTTGGAATCACTTTTTTGTTCATCTTTTCACCTCTGCATGTGTGTGATATAGAAAGGAGAGTAGATCATCGAACAAGCATCTGATAAACTTGGGCATTCCTCACCATGACATGTTAAGATTTTTGTTTCCAACATTTGAATGAATGAATGTTGTTTTATAAGACTTAACCCTCCATCAACATGCTTGTTTTTTTATTTTATTTTATTTTTGGTCAAGAATAAAATGTGCCATCAGGAATAGTTTTAAAACACTGGCCCTCCCTCTCAACCCAATAATTTGAGCCCTGGTATAAGGAGGTCATTGCTTCCTACTCAAATCGTCATTAGAAGTTAGAGTACAGAGTATAATTTTCAACATTCCATGTTGGCCTGAAAGGCAGGATAATCACCTGTCATAACAAGACAAATTTCTAAACTGTGAGTGGTCAGAAACTCACTGGCATATATCATCATCTGAAAAATACTGCTGGTAGCTTCTGTCTCCTGATACATACAAATATTCTTGTTTGACCAAGACAAAAATTGCCATGTGATCCCTTTCCCCAAGACAGCAGCAAAGATGAAAAAGGAAGCTCCTTCCCTAAAGCCAAAACATAAACCTTAAATGCCAAGAAGATAGTAGTGAAAAGCATCCACAGCTACAAGGAAAAGAAGATCACGCATTACCCATATTTCAGTAGCCCAAAACACCGTGTCTCTAGAGGCCTAAATATTATTGGAAGAATGCCCCAATTCCTGCTGACCACTGAGTCTATGGTGAGGAATGTCAAAGACAATGTATTTATGCTCGTTGTGACATCAAGGCCAGCAAGCAAAAGACCAAAATAGGCCATGAAGATGTTTTGTGGCATCTATGTGGCCAAGGTCAATACTCTCATCAGCCCTGATGGGGAAGAAAAAGGCATATGTTCAAGTAGATGTTGATTCTATTGATTTGGATGCTGCCCACAAGTTGGGATTGTCTGAATCTGTCTGTCCAACTCTAAATTACATTTGTTTCACTGCAAAGTAAGATATAAAGAACGAGAGGAGAGAGAGAAAGAGAGAGAGAGAGAGGGAAGAAGGATCAAAGGCCAAAGCGGCTAGATTCTAATCTTAAAGTGAATGAGAGTGTGTGTGTGTGTGTGTGTGTGTGTGTGTGTGTATGTGTGTGTTAATTTTACACTGTTTCTTCACAGTAACATTTTGATCTTCTAGAAGTATTCCTTCAAAAAGCACACTTTGGCATAATCCTGCTTCTTCTCATGGGTCATAGAATTGGCTTGATAATCCATGAAGGTGTGGCTTCGAGTGTTGCCTTTTCTGGCTCCTTTCTTCCTGTAACTAAAAGAGTGTTCTGTCCAGCTGTTCTCATGGTCAAGGAAGAAGAATCCCAATTAGCAGTTGCCCAAGACTGACAATGGCAGTCTTACATTCCAGGCACTTGCTTGCCCATAGTCCTTTTCTCAGTACTTGTCTTTTAGTCATGTGGGAGTCTTGGCAGAAATAGGAGGCTGGATGGAATAAATATGTTAAGATTGAAGGGAATCTTGGTAGCAGGAAGTCTTTATTCCTGCCTTAAGTTTTCGAAAACTGTAGTGATGGTGTTGATCTGTAAGTTTCATGAGATTATTATATAGCAAAGTGACAGGAAATCATGAGAACTTACGTGGAAAGAAGCCTCCTCATGATACCTATAAGTGTCAGGTTTGTTGGCATTTATTTGAGAATTAGACCAAGTCTATATTCTGAACATTTCTCCTTGTTTTCTAGAGATCTCATCAAAGTGCTTAAGTGGTATGTGGACAGGATAACTGAAGCAGAGCGGCAAGAGCATATCCAGGAGGTGCTGAAGGTAATAACGTGCTGTTGAAAGCAGACAACATAGTCTAACAAAGCTGTTGCACAGAGATGCTTAAACTAATTGGTTTCCTCTGCACAGACAGTAATTGGTGATGATATATTACTGACATTCCAATTCAAGGATCTTAATCCGTTTACAGCTGCTCCAGAACTGATGAAATTTGAAAGGTACTTTGCCAGGCTTGTCCACTGCAATCTGTTCAGATCGAATCCTTGGGCCTCTGAACTCCAGAACACGTGAAGTTCAGAAAGGACAGGAGAAGGAGATGGGCAGAAGTCTTCTATGGGAGAAGAATGCAGATGATGTAGTTATACATAGAAAATCACAGCTCTTGCTTCTACTCACCTGCCAGAGACTGACTAGCTGAGAACCACTGAGCTTAAAGTTTCAGAGATGTAGGGTGGCTTATCAGGGATCACAGTGAGGAAGCCCAGGTTTGAGAGGGTCTCACAGTTTGCACAATGTCTGTTTCTGGTTGTATATGAACACTAATCCAGTGCCTGACCTACAGACAGGTTCAAGAATACAAATTCTTAAGGGGATTGTCCAGGCCAGCCCTGGCAGTATTCTGATTTTCTTGGACTCTCATCTGGTATGGTATCAGTAGATAAAAAGAGATAATGTATCTATTTTATAAAACAAGCATTTTGTTCACTATAAACTGATCGTTTTTATCTGCTTAAAGGTAAAGTGCTAAGCAGCCAGAGTATCTACCAAAATAAATTCACTCTGAAAAGCAGTTATGTCTTCATCGATTAAATTTAAAAAGACATTCAAGGATCAAAAACATCCATGTTCATGACTCTTCAGAATTATCCTTTTGAAATTTTCTACACATTTTTTCCTCCTTAGGCATCAAAGAAAAACAGTTCTTCCTCCTACAAGTAAATACTGTTCAAAAATCTCACAAGGCCTTAGTGTTTAAATCAATAATTTAAAACTCTAACCCTGTATAGTAGTTTGTATGCTGTGTCATGGTTATATAAATACTCTTGGCCTCCTTTGCAGCTAACTTTATAAAGTTTTTGTGTTAAGGCACAGGAATACATCTTTAAGTACATAGTGCAGTCCCGGAGGCTCTTTTCCCTGGCCACTGGTGGGCAAAATGAAGAGGAATTCCGCTGTTGCATCCAGGAGCTCCTCATGTCTGTCCGCTTCTTCCTTTCCCAAGAAAGCAAGGGGTCTGGAGCCCTATCTCAGTCACAGGTAATTGCTTTCCCTTTCCATCTCTGCTACAGAAAAAAAAAAAAAAAACTATGAATGCAGTTTGTTTGTTTTTACACAGCAGCTTAATTCAAGGTTTTCTCTACCAGAAATCCATAGCTTCCATTTATACACTCTTAAGGAGAGGCTTTAACATCCCCCAAGCTCTGCTCACACAGAGGATACTGAGATCTGAGGATTGTGCATCAAAATTAGCCCAAGCAGGAAAGTTGGTTAGACTGTTATTGCCAAATAAAGCAAATAAAGGTCAATAAAGGTCAAGTGTGAGCTCCAGGCCCTGAGTTCAAGCCTCAGTACTCACCCCCACCACACACACACACACACACACACACACACACACACACACAGTTCTCAGTACTAGCTGATCAAAATATACACACACACACACACACACACAGTTCTCAGTACTAGCTGATCAAAATATACACACACACACACACACAGTTCTCAGTACTAGCTGATCAAAATACACACACACACACACACACACACACACACACACACACACACACACACACACACACACACACACACACACACACACACACACACACACACACACACACACACACACACCAGTTCTCAGTACTAGCTGATCAAAATTGGGTAGCCATTCCCCAGATCTGCTCTCTGCATGGAGATACTTCTGTTGCCACTTAGCAGAACCCATACTTAAAGCTGGACACTGTTTCCTTCAGCCTTGGAGAAGGTTTTGTTGGAGCTAGTCTGTTGACCTTCTTTTCTGCATTTCAGTCCGTGAGCTTGAGAATCATTATATTTTTTGGACTCTGCTGAACTGGACGTTGTTTTGTTTTATTTAACTTGACTGTAATCATCCTGGGACTGGTCTTGTAAGGCCAGTACTGTGCTGATATTGCCAAATTCTATTACTAGGGCTAGTCTGTGATTTTGTTATTGTTCATTTTTTGTTTGTTTTAAGAATAGACTTTCCAAACATCATGACCTTGTACATCGGAGAGATAATTCTGAATGTCCTTCTCTATACTTTCTGGTCTTTTTTATGTGCTTTTAATTCTAATGGCTTGGTTAAAAAAACCTATCTGGTGGAAAAGCAGCGTCTTGCTATCCCTTGAAGACCAGAGACTTAGCATCATTGAGAACTAAGACTTAAAAATAAAGTATCAAACCGGATCAGATTCTGAACAAAGTTGACAGAACGTGGTATGATATGACATTTGGAAGGCATAAAGTAGGCAAGCATGCAACTAGGCTCTCTTAAGCCCATTTTGACAGGTCAATCATTGCATTTCAGGAACCTGCCAGAGACCTCAATATTCAATGTCCCTAGGCCAAATCAGACCTGCTAGTGGCAGTTGAGACGTGAGAACGATAATCCCACAGGTTAACTATGTATTTATTCTTCAAGTTTGCAGAATTATCTACCTCTGCTAATGGCATTGTACAATTTGGTTTCTTATCCTGAGGTTTCCTTTTAACCTGTACTAGTTACAAAGATAACATTTTAGTAAGTCGTGGTTTCTTCTTAAAGATGCAAGAGATTGTTTTTCTCCTTCAGGTGACCTCTGCTGTGGGAATTCAGGGGACAGCAGCTATGTCATTGCTGCTCCATACCTACTTCCACTCTGCTCTCATGCTCTCTCTCTCCTCTCTCTCTCTCTCTCTCCTCTCTCTCTGTTTCTGTCTGTCTGTCTGTCTCTCTCTCTCTCTCTTGCTCTTTCTCTCGAAGTTTCTATCCCATGATCAAATTTGAAGAACAACTTTAACAACTTTGAAGACTCATATTTGATTTGTTCTGCCCTTAGTTTTTTTTTACTACTTTCCAATGGGATGTAGAAATTGGGAGGATTGAAGTTTGAGGCCATCTCAGGCAAAAAAAAAAAATAAAAAGTTTAAGAAATCAAATTTCAACCAATAAAAATGTGGGTTTAGTGTTCGCACCTGTCATCCCAGCTACACAGAAAATGTAAACAGGAAGATCAAGTTCCACGTAAGCTTAAGATTAATTAAATGTGAGGCCCTGTCCCCAAAATAAATAAAGAAAAAAAATGCTTAAATGCTAGAGTACCTGTCTATCAAATATAAGGCCCTTAATTTAACCGCAAGCAACACACATATACATGGTGATGATGATGATGATGATCATGATGATCATGATGATCATGATGATCATGATGATAGAATAGTTAGGTTTTTGTTGTTGCTGATGATGGGACTTGAACTCTGGGCCTGGGTACTGTCCCTTAACTCTTCAAGTCTAGGTAAGTGCTCTACCACTTGAGCCACAGCACCACTTCAGTTTTCTGGTGATTTGTTGGAGATAAGCATCTCACAAACTTTCCTGCCCAGGCTGGCTTTGAAATGCAATTCTCACATCTCAGCCTCTTGAGTAGCTAGGATTATAGGCATGAGCCACTGGCGCCCGGCTTGGTTTTTTAAAATTATTATTATTACTAAATAAGTAGAACATTGCCTGTTTATGTTTTGGGAAGAAAGAAACGCACATATTTCTTCTCATACCAGGTTCTCTTTTGACCCTACACTGCTCTTTAAGACCAGTGTCACTAATTTGATTGATTTGGTATATTAGTTTTCTATAGCTTTATAACAAATGACTATAGCTTAATGATTTAAACAGTGCTCATTGATAAGGCCCTCGCTCTGTAGGTCAGAGATCTGGACAGCTTTCTTCAGAGTTCTTTGGGAGTTTTGTGTTTCCCAAAACCAAACTCAGGGTATTGGCTTTGATGTGCTATCTGAAGCTTCAATGGAGAGTATGCTTTCCGGTTCTCTTAGGCTGTTGACACAAATCTGTTTCCTTGTGTTTGTAAGACTGGGGTCCCCATTTTCTTCATGGCTGCCAGTTGGGGCTAGAAGGAAGAGAAATGCATTCAGGAGGCCATTTGTATTCCTGAACACAACATCTGCTCCATTCAAAGCCAGAAACTACATGTGGAATCCTTCCTGTGCTTTGGGTCCTTCTGACTAGTTCTTCCATCAGCCAGAGAAAACTCTTTAAAGTTTATTATTAGGTTAGGCTCACCTGATGGTCTCCGTATTTTAAGGTCCACTTTTTTTTTTTTAATCTTCATTACATGTACAGAATCTCTTTGCCAGGCAACATGCAATGGCAAGAACATCAGGGGAAATGGAGTTATCTTAGAATTTTGTCTCCCACATCCCAAACAAGTATCCCCAATAGCCCAAGCTTTACTGCAAACGACAGAAACCACATTGCCTTGCTTCATCTTATGTTTTTGTTTTTGTTTTTCACCTGGGCAAGTTCTGCTTCCTGCTTTCCAAGCAATATATCATCTTGGGTCAGTAGACAGTGACCCCACAGAGCTGTGTGTCCTGGCCCCAGTGGCAGAGCTTCATTGAGGCCTCCTGGCCTGAGCCAAGCTTGACAATACACTGTCTTGGATAGCCTGCCCTGGGCAAGACTCAGCACTGAGGTGGCATAGTAGCAGTCATCCATTGCCCATTCTGTGGACAGAGCCCTGTCTTAGGACCCCTAGAAAAGCAGCCCAATGAGAGGATCAAGGCCTGAGCCCTGGCTGCACATTCCTCCGATTGTTTTTCTCTATTTGTCTTGCCTGCCGGGAAGGACAAAACTAAATTGTTCTTTTATTTACATTTACAGTAATAATCCTTAGCTTATACTATCTTCCTGCCATCATAATTAAGCCTTTTTTATCATTTTAAAAAATTATTATTATATATGTGTCTTATACTGCAGGTACAGATTTAAGTAAAGTGGTATAAATAAAGAATTAAGGTACAAATTAAGGGTTACCTGAGAACATTGAACTTATTTTTGCTTTTCAACCATGCATTTTTTTCTTTACTTACATGATTCAGATCTTTGTAGACTACAATGAAGATTATATAAACATAGCCTTGAACAGGACTATAGAGTTACTGATTAAGTATATTCAAGTAAATTGATAAGTTTAGGAGCAGATATGAATTATTTAGAAAGTCAAAAAAGTCTCAAAATTTATGTGAAGCAGAAAGTAGGTGGGTAATTACATCTCTATATTCAGGAAAAAATAATACTTTTGTTTGTTATATGCAGAGCTTCAAATCTGCATTTTTCTTCCACATTTTAAGTCTGTGATTTTTCAGAGTCGTGAAGTATAACTTTTGGGCTACTCTCCCTGTCTTCCCAGGATTCAGATCACCTTGAGAAGCCATCTGTCTCCTCAGTTTCAGCTCAGTACACACACGGGAGAGTTGAGACTGGCTGCCTCCCATTGCCCTCCCATTGTGGAATTTTAAATGGGTCAATGAATTTGCTTTCTTTGGTATACAACCTTAGTCCAGCTTTTTCAGTGTCCCCCTTGGGATTTGATGGTAACTCCTGTTTTGTTTTGATTTTTCTCCTTTAAAAATGATTAGCAGGCCAGGCATAGTGCCTCACACCAATCTTAGCTATTCAGGACGCTGAGATCTGAGGATCATTGACCTAGATCAATGATCTAGGTAAAGTTCATGAGATGCTTAGCTCCAATTAACCCCCAAAAAGCCAGAGGTGGCTCAAGTAGTAGAACATTGCAATAGTCTTGGGTGAAAAAGCTAAAGAATAGAGCCCCAGTATTGGTTCATGCTCTCTCTCTCACGCTCTCTCTCTCTCTCTCTGTCTCTCTCTCTGTCTCTCAAGTACACACACACACACACACACACACACTTCTTCACATAACTACATGTGCATTTCTTTTTTTCCAACAGAACCTGAGGCAATATAAGGTTGTGCCAATGATCTTTTTATTTTTCTGGTGAAACTAAAACCTGGGAGACAAAATTATACTTTCCAAAGCCATGGCATTGACTAGAAGCAGAAGTAGCACAATGTGCAGACAGATCTTTGCTGCCCTGATCTGTATTGTCATGTGTCTACTCTTAGATCACAAATTCAGTGCTTTAGGGAATTGATATGTTTGGTTTGTTAAAAAGGATATTTAACTGAGAAGTTCAAAAAGTCTCTCCAAAAAGAAATGAAATCTTAATGTCCCAGTCCATATGTTTTAAGGATTCTTTCTCTTCATCAGGCTGCATTTTCTGAATCTCTGGTATTTTTGCCAATCATTTCGCTAATGTGATTTTTCGAGGATTTCCCTGTTTTTATTACTTTATTTCTTTGCACATTTCTAAAAATTTTCCTATTCTGCCACACCTTTTTTTATTTAAGTTTTTGCTCGTTTAACTGTGGGTACAGAAACATTTTCCTTCTACTTAAAAATACTTGTGCTGGGCACTGATGGTTCACACCTGTAATCCTAGCTATTCAGGAGGCTGACATCTGAGGATCGAGGTTCAAAGCCAGCCTAGACAGGGAAGTCCATGAGACTCTTATCTCCAATTAACCAGAAAACCAGAAGTAGCCCTGTGGCCCTGTGGCTCAAGTGGTAGAGTGCTTACCTTAAGCTGAAGAGCTGAGGGACAGTGCCCAGGCCCAGAGGTCAAGCCCCCTGACTGACTCAAAACACAAAAAACGTCTCACAATCCTTAAGCTCACTGATGTTTTACAGCTTATTTCTCATGGCATCCCTGGGAGTTAATTGAAATTTCTTCTTTTTCCTAAGGCCGTGTTTCTGAGCTCCTTTCCAGCTGTGTACTCCGAGCTGCTGAAGCTCTTTGATGTCCGGGAAGTAGCTAACTTGGTGCAGGACACTCTGGGCAGCCTGCCCACCATCATGCACGTGGATGACTCCCTCCAGGCAATCAAGCTGCAGTGCATCGGTAAAACCGTGGAAAGCCAACTGTATACCAACCCAGGTAGGGTGGAGAGTCATGGATGAAAACCCTGGCTGCAAAAAGCCAGTACTCTTTTTTTTTTGGTCAGTCATGGGGCCTGAACTCTGGGCCTGAGCACTGTGCCTGAGCTTTTCAACTCAAGGCTAGTGCTGTACCACTTGAGCCATAGCACCACTTCCAGCTTGTTCTGTTTATGTGGTGCGGAGGAATCGAACCCAGGGCCTCATGCATGCAAGGCAAGCACTCTACCACTGAGCCACTTTCCCAGCCCTAGTACTCTCATTTTACGACAGTCATCAGAAAAACAATTCTTCAAAATAAATAAATAAATAAAACTTAAATGTAATTTGGATGTAAAATGTATTTAGTAACCAAATAAGTATAAAATCATGACTATTACAACACTAAAGAATGGGTGAGGCAGGCGCTGGTGGCTCACGTGTATAACCCTTAGCTACTTGGGAGGCTGAGATCTGAGGATCACAGTTCAAAGCCAGCCCAGACAGGAAAATCTGTGAGACTCTTATCTCCAGTTAATCACAGAAAAAGCTAGAAGTGGTGCTGTATCTCAAGTGGTAAAGTGCTAGCCTTGAAAAAAGGGGCTCAGGGACAGTGCTCCGGCCCAGAGTTCAGGGTCAAGGCCTAGAAAAAAACAAAAACAAATGAGCAAGGCACAGTGATACACTTTTAGTCCCAGCTGCTCAGGATGCTGAGGCAGGAAGATAGCCTAGCCCCAGGAGTTCAGAAACAGCCTGGGCTGCAATAAGAAGGCAAACATTAGAAAGGTATAAGAACAGAGTGAACTGTGGATTGTAACCACAGCCAGTGGTAGTAGAGGGTATGTCTCTTTTTTATTTTTGGAGGACAATTTGATAGTTTCTATTTTTTAATATATATTTTTATGTAAAGCTGCTGTACAGAGGGGTTACAGTTGCATGAGTGAGGTAATGAGTCCATTTCCTATTGAGCAGTGTTATCTTCTCCTTTGTTTTTCTTCTACCATCACTTGCCCCCACCGCCCCTAGTCCCCCACCCCCTGCCAAAGTTGTAAAGTTCATTTTCAACATTGTGTCTTGTACATGTCATTGTTACAATGGGTCAACCTGTATCTTTATTTCAGCATTTTGTTATATCCCTTCCCCTTCCCAAATTAGAAAAATGTATATACAAGATGCAGGGCACTGGAATCAAATACAGTTAAAACAGGGGTTATACCTTGGGGGACGAACATACAAAAGAAACAAAAAAATCACATAGTACATTATAAGTACATTAAAAACAACAGCAAGAAAGATAAAACCTCTTGTATCCCTATCTTGAGATTCATTTCACTTAGCATCGTCTTATATGGCCATATGTACATAGCTTTTGATTTTTAGTGCTTGTCCTAGACTTATACTAGTTATTGCAAATAAGGGAAACCATGGAACCTATGTTTCTTTCGGCCTGGCTTACTTCACTTAATATAATTTTTTTCCAAGTCTTTCTATTTCCTAACAAATGGGGCATTTCTGATGGAGGCATTGAATTCCTCTGTGTGTATGTGTGTACACGTACACACCACATTTTCTTGATCCATTTGTCTACTGAGGGGCATCTGGGTTGGTTCTATATCTTAACTATGGTGAATAATGCTGCAGTAAACATAGTTGTGCTGGTAGCTTTAGTATGGCCTTAAAGAGGACTTCTCTGAAGAGGAAATAAGAATGGCCAATAGACACATGAAGAAATGCTCAACTTCTCTAGCCATAAAAGAAATGCAAATCAAAACAACATTGAGGGATAGGTTCTCAAGATGGCGACGGGGCAGTAGGGAAACGCCACAGCTCTCTCCAACCAAAAAGAGAGTTCGAGTTCCAACCTTTAATCTCCCCAAGAGACCGACAACAACAAAAAGACGAACACTCAGAGAAAAACCAGAGGTGGAAAATAACAAAAAAAGAAAGAGAGGAAAAGAAGAATTTCAGAACAGAGAAGAGCGAAGACCCCTCCCCCAACCTTTACTGGCCGCGCGGCAGTGCGCCAAGCCGCCGGCCAGCCGGCCCGGCAGGGGCTGCCGGAGCCACAGAGACACAGGGGGCTGCTTGCAGATCACCAGGTACCGGATTGCAGAACAGCGGATCGCCAGGAACAGAGAAACCTACCAGCCGGGAGTCTCCAGGAGGATCCCACCCCACCCATCACTCTCCACCGGAGCGGAGAGGCTCCATCCCGCCAAAGCCGCCCGGCACCAGCAGCGCCACAAAGGGACCTGTCGCGATCGCAACGACCCGGCGGGGGGCCGCCCAACCCAGCCCGCAACCACCCCAACTGAACTCGGACTGCAACAACAACTGACGGACTGCAACAACAACTGACGACCTACAGGGTGAGTACCCATCAGGGGACAGGGAATCCATCAAGGGAGACCAGAGCTGGAGGGAATCCCCAGACCCTGACCTAGACTCCCTACCCCAACACCCGGACCACAGGACCCACTAAAACTGGGAACTGTTCGAGAGCCCCACCAGCCGGTGGAGCACACTCTGCTGGCCAGGCCAGAGCAAGAGCGCCCCGGGAAGGGAGCTTAAATGCTCAAGCCAGGAACAGTGCCCCTGGGTCAAGACTACCAACAGTAGAAGAAATTTGAACTGTGTCCTCCAGGCTGCATAACCAAGGTGGCATACACATTAGCACAGGCCTAACGAGCGCGCTCCAGGCTGGGGCCGGAACCAGGCCAGGGGACCGGCGCCTGAACAAAGCAAAAAGGGTCAGAAGTGGGGCTGTGGCTCAAATGGTAGGGTGCCAGCCCTGAGCTGAAGAGCTGAGGGACAGCACCCAAACCTAGAGTTCAAGCCCACAACCAGCCCAAAACAAACAAAAACACATCAGGAGCCCATAGCAGACTCCAGTATTTGGGAGAGTGCATCCAGAGCATCTGATCTTCCCAAGAGCACCCGCAGGAGCAAACACAAGCAGTCTAGGCTGCTCAACCCTTCCAAAGGCGGGAATTGCTACAGCAGAGAGCTGAGAATCCTAAGTGAATAGCAGCTGGAAATAGGCTCCCAACAGAATCCAGATCAGACACAGACTCTCTCTACCAATAGAGAATCAGCAACCAAGCAAAGACAGACACACCAAAACAAGATTGAAGAGCAGTCTCCTGAACCCCCATGCGAAAATCACAGAGAAAAATCACAAGGTTTACCACTACCCAGGACAGCAAGCTCACCTCAAAAGCCAGCAGCCACGCAGGGGAGAGCCCCAGTGGGAGCAAAGCAGGAATGGAAGACAAAAACTACATCCAAGGGTTGCTGGAGGCAATGACTCAAGAAATAAAGCGAGAAATGGATCAGAAATTGAAAGAGCACAAGGATGAACTATCAAAAGATATACAGGATATCAAACAAAAATTGGATGCAAAAATAGAAGCTGCACAAACCTCAGTAAGAAGTGAGATAAACGCCAAATTAGAGGTAATGCATACTGATATCACCTCATTGAGAGGTGAGATCAGTACTCTGAGAACCAACATTGAATCCATAAAGGGATCCATTTCCATCATGCAAGCCACAATAGAAGCCACGGTCAACAGAGTGAATGAAATGGAAGGTAGAGTGTCAGATACAGAAGACAGAATACACCAACTGGACCAAAAAGTGACAGATATGGAAAAATCACTCAAATTAAACCAAAGGGAAATTCAAGAGCAAGCAGATAATGCTAAAAAATTTAACCTTCGCATAATCGGAGTGGACGAAGGTGAGGAATTCCAGAGCAAGGGAATGCAACACCTATTTAACAAGATAGTCAATGAAAATTTTCCCCACCTCAAAAACGACCATCTTAACTACATCACAAAAGCTTATCGAACACCCAACAAGCAAGATCCCAGGAGAAACACTTCTAGGCACATAATAGTAACAATGATGGATCTGAATAATAAGGAAACAATCCTGCATGCAGCAAAAATGAAGAAGGAGCTATACTACAACGGGAAAAAAATTAGAATCACTGCAGATCTCTCCACACAAACAATGAATGCAAGAAAAGCCTGGGAAAGCACCATACGAGCCCTGAGAGCCAATAACTGCCAACCCAGACTGATATACCCGGCAAAGCTAGCATTCACATTCGATGGAGAACTGAAAACTTTTAATAGCAAAGAAAAACTAAATGAATACATAAACATTAAGCCAGCATTACAAAGAATTCTAAGAGGGGGGACACAACCTGAAGAAAGCAACCAGGAACTGGGACCTGCCCCAAACAGGCATTACTCAAAGTCTAACTGAGCAAGCACAGGAGGAAAGGAAAGAAGAAAAACTTAGGAAAACGGAATGGCAGGGACAACAATGCATCTCTCTATACTTTCTCTTAATATAAATGGGCTGAATTCGCCAATTAAAAGAAAACGAACTGAGGACTGGATCAGAAAACAAGACCCATCCATCTGTTGCCTTCAGGAGACCCACCTCTCAGCCAAACATACAAACAAACTCAGAGTGAAGGGGTGGAAAAGGATCTACCAATCAAATTCCCCCAATAAGAAAGCAGGTGTAGCTATCCTGATATCTGACAAAATAAACTTTTCATTAAAATCAGTACAGAAAGACAAGGACGGACATTACATATTAATAAAGGGAACAATCCAAGAGGAGGATATAACCATCATCAACTTATATGCCCCAAATATCGGTGCACCCAGATATGTTAAACAAATGCTCTCAAACTTACAGAATAAAATAGATCCCAATACGATAATACTAGGAGACTTTAACACGCCACTCTCACCAAAGGACAGGTCTACCAACCAGAGGATTGGCAAAGAAGCTACCGAATTAAGTGAGGCCATACTTCAAGCGGAATTAACTGACATCTACCGAGTATTTCACCCTAAAACAACACAGTACACATTCTTCTCAGCAGCTCATGGAACTTTCTCCAAAATAGACCATATCATAGTTCATTCAAGGAACTTAAGCAAATACAAAGGGATCGACATAATCCCCTGTATCCTATCTGACCACAGTGGAATCAAG